GCGCCTCGGCGTCCTAGTAGACCGAATAGGCCCGGTGCGGACGGCGGTGCCCGCGCGGGGGCCTACAGAGACGTCCTTAGCCCTCCCCCCGGCTTTTCCTCCTCTCATCCCTGCCGGCAGTTGTCCGGACCCCGCCGTACCTGCCAAGGGCTCCGAGCTCACATACCCCGCCCGAGGCACCCTCTTCGCCGCCGGCGCCAGGCCTCTTCAAGCCGCCGCGACCGCGACAGCTTCAACCTGCGTCTCCCGCCCCCGGAAATGCTTCCCGGTCCCGCCCCCGAAACCGCCAGTGCTTCCGGGGGTGCGTCAGGGAGAATGCGGTGTGCGCATGCGGGATCCCGTTTGGGGTGGAGCTTCGGGGGAGCGCTCAGAGATCTCGGCCTCTGTGCGGAGCGGTCTGGAGCAGGTTAGTCAGGTTTAGTGGCTGAATATACCAGTGGAAGTTGGGAGCCAATCACCGAGTTCAAGGCCTTTTTAAGGCCTTGACATATATCAGCTTGTCTAGAAGATACGTCAAAATCCTTGACTGCCTCCATAGCGCCCACCCCGCAGTTGGCACGTAGTGGACGCTCAAGGAATGTTCGGTGGGAAAGATCAATGCCCTCTTTATGGCTGTCATTGTACTGGTCGCCGGGTCGCACATACAGTGGGACAGGAGCGCTGCCTCTAACCTCGAGTTCTGCCACTCCCAACAGCCCTCCCTTCTTCGCCTTCAGACCTCTGGACCTGTTTTAAGCCTTCTGTGAAGGAGCGAATTCCTACTAACATACCTTCCAGGCAGCTACTGGGGTTTAGTGAGAGTTGCCTCAGGATTTAGGGTGGATGCTCTTGTTGTGTCAGATACACCTGTTTGATTTTTGTCTGTCTTAGATCAAAGGGTTCAGTTTCCCAGCTTCTTCTTGGTCTCTAGAATCCAGGAGTGTTCCAAGAGGAGGCTGGACTTTCTGAGAGAATTCGACAAGGAAATTCTCGGAAACCGAAGCAAAGCAAAGAAATGAAATATTGAAACATAGAAATGGTGGTGCAGAGCAGCTTGTCAAGAAATATTGTGGATCTGGCCGGGGGATTTACCTCAGTGGTTCCACCGCCTGCTGCACAAGCTCCAAAGACCCAAGTTGGATTCCCCAGTACCAAAAAAAAATAATAATAATTTATGCTCCAGTCCCCCTTTATACCTAACGATTACTACAGGTAGGATATTATAATTCTTTCTTGTGGGCTCTCCTAAAACACACACCCAGGCACACGCACTCACACATGCACGCACATACACAACAAAACCCTCATTCTGCTCAGGTAGTAGGGGGAAATCCTTTGGTCTCAGGGGAAGTAGACCGTCACTTCAACTGCAATGAGTGGCTCATAACTGGCCCGAATAATTCTGGTAATCTTGTTTTCATTAACTAACAATTGGGATAGGCAATGTCTAACTTCTTGTTAATACTAGAAATCATTGGGAATTGAGGAAAAAGTATTTTGTAAATAGTCCACTAGAATTTTTAGTTGACTGGTTTTTAAGTGCTTTGCCACTTTAACTTTTTCCTTGCCTCTAAGCAGATCTGAATTTGCAAGTTCAGCTACTATCATGCCCATGAAGTAACATGCAAATATTAATGCTGGTAAAGCAAAATGATTGCATCTCAGACTCATGACATTAAGCTGTATTTCCAGTTTGGACTACTTGTTATCAGATGCTTTGCATGAGCCAAATAAACATCTTTCTTAAACTTATTCCATTAATCTTGTGGACTATGTGTCTCCAAACATTACAACAAGATATAAAAGGTTGCTAGGAGACAAGCTTTCAAGAAAGTTAAGGAAAACATCTGAAGAGAGAAAAAATGCTGGAAAGCTAACCTAGGAAGTTAGCACAGCTGAATGTTTGATATTATACATAGATACTATCTACACGTGCTCTGATTGGTTGGTGCATGTCCCATAACTGACAGATATTTTGGAAATCTCTGAAGATAGGTAAAGACTCATGCTGCTACCAGTTACAGTCAAGATAAGAGTTAAGTTTCAACATCTGGTTAGAACCTAAGAAGGAATATACCTTCAGGGAAAGGTAAACTAGGGCAAAATCTGTCCTGCAAAGATGGGCAGCAAGGAAAATTGTCTTTCTTTGCTTTGGCTCTGAATGGAGGTGAAGAAACATTCTCCCAGAAGATTTATGGTCTTTGGCTTTCACATAGCCATAAATGTGCATGATTCAAAACGCCACAAACTAAACATTTTAGTTTAAAATGGACCCAAGTAGGTAGTGATCATGGTACTTGGCCAAAGCAAGCGCAAATCCTCTCTGGAAGAATCATTGTCAACCCAAGTCTCAAAGAATTCCCACAGAGTTCCAAATGAATATGAACTCACAATCAGAAGCCGCAAAACCCATGAGGAAATAATCAAAAAAGACAATAAACCAGATGCAAGTCCAAAGCTATGTCGGATGTTAGCTATTTTAGAATCAACACAAAAAGTATATTTTTAAGAAGAACTAAAATTACAAGTGAGAATCAAGATATTCTCAAAAATTACTAGGAAAATGTGAAAACCACATAAGAGTTATAGATATGTTTATTTTAATAGTTTAAATATGTAATTCATTGGAATGGTTAACACTAAATGAGATATAGCTGAAGAGATTATTGAACTGGAAGATAAACTTGAAGAAAAAAAAAGGCATCACAGAGAGAAGATGGAAAAGAGTAAGGTCCAAAAAGAAAGGAAGAATAAGGCCCATCATATGTCATAGTAGGAGACAGGAAAGTGAATATGAACACCACAGCCGTTGTCAAATAATGATAGTTGAGAATTACCCAGAGTTGATGAAAGATGCCTCTGTTATTGTTTGTATTTAGAACGTCCTTCCAAGGCCTCATGATGATAAGTTGGGACTTTTTTGTGTGTGTGTGGTACCAGGGATTAAGAACTCAGGACCTTGCACTTGTGAAGCAGGCGGTGGAACCACTGAGCTAAATCCCCGGCCCCTTTCTTTTTCAGAGTTAATTTAATCTGGAATGTGTGATGCTGGGGTTAAGGGCCTGTGATTACTAAACCACTACATGTGAGTGGTTAGTTTGGCACTGCCCTAATCCAGGTGGTCTGAGCAAAATACAAGGGGCAGAAAGATGCTGGTAACTCTCGTTACCTTGTGCGTGACATGTTGTTTCTGCTGTGCCATGCCTGTTTGTCATCCCTGCCTTGGATTTGGCTGGTTATGAGCTGAAACCTCTATGAACTACAGGCCAAATAAACCCCTTCCCTTCTAACTTTGGATGTCAGGTATTTTCTCTCAGCAATGAGAGAAAAGTAACTAACACAACCTCCTAAGCAGAATAAGGAGAAAGAACACCAAGAGATAGAAAGGAAAATCAGATTATGATGGAATGATTATGATGCTAACATCTGACTTTCAACAGCAACAATGGGAGCACTGATAATAATGTAACTTGAAATAATAACATTCATGGGATAAGAGAAAAGTCTAGAGCTATATACTTAGCAAAATAATTTTTCAAGTATGAAGACAACACTTTTAAGATCAACAAAAACTAAGAATTACCAACAATTTAATGGAATAATTTTCTAGAAGGTTTATTTCAGAAGCTGGATATGGTCTTATCCTTCAGTAATCCCAGCTACTTAGAAACTGAGACAAGAGGATTACTTGAGTTCACCGGTTCTAGACCTGCCTGGGCAACATATTGAGAACACAGAAAAAGAAGAAGGAGAAGAAGATATAATTTGGAAAGAAGTAAAATTAGCTCAGGAGGAAGTTCTGAGGAAAAATAAGATTGGTGAGAAAATAAAATGACAAATATAACAAATGTAAACAAATATCAAAGGCAAAATAACAATAGTTTATTGTGTGGGGTTTAAAAAGGTAAAACCAAATAATAGAGCAACAGAATATAAAGATAAAAAGGTTACTAAAGTTAAAGTATTATAACAGTATGTGTCAGTAATCTATTGCAAAGCAAATAGCCGTAAAACTTCAAACATACAACTGCATTTGTTTATTGCTCATACATCTGATGTCTGTTCGGAGTATGTTAGGAAGCTCTCCTGTGCTTAGCTAAGCTCACTTTTATGTCCAGGGTCAGATGATTTAGGACAGACTTTTCTGCCTAAGTGACTGCTCTGTGTCACTTAGTCACCATCTGGGTTCCCAGGACAAGTCCTTAAGGTGTTGGCAGAGATGCAAAAGGGAATAAACAAACACGCAAGCACATTTTTAGACTCTTCTTACATCTCATTGACCAGAGCAAATCACAGAGTTACAGTAGGGCAGAGTTACGGTAGGATAGAACCGTGAAGGTTTATAGCAGAAGGTTTGCCTACAAGGAGAGGTGAAGACTTGAAGTGGTAAACACTTGAACAATCTAAGATCCTTCTATTGTCCGTAAAAGTTTAGGTTAACACTAACCCACAACTTTAAAGAGGAGAGGTTTGTTTTGGCTCACAGTTTGTAGAAGTTTCAGTCCATAGTTGGCTGGTTGGCTCCAAGGAAAAATGGCGTGGTAGAAGGGCCTGGGCAGAGGAGAGCTGCACACAGTGCATCTAGGAAGCAGAGCGAGCTCAAGTGAAGAACAGGGAAGGGAGATACACTCTTCCAAGGCACACCCAAAATGACCTGCCTCTTCTGACCAGACCCCACCTTCTAACAGCAAGCAAGTCAGCACTAACCCCCATAACCCAGTTGCCTTCCAAACACATGGGATTTGGGGTGCCATTTTAGATCTAAACCATAACGTTCCTACAATTTTTAGTAAAGATAACAGAATGAAGAATGGATAGTGCTACGCATGACACATAAAGAACATGTAAGATGAGCAGGGCGTGATGGTGCACACCTGTAATCCCAGCACTTGGGAGCCTGAGGCAGGAGGATCGCTGTGAGTTCAAGACCAACCTGGGCTACATAGTTCCAGAGCAGTCTCAACTACATAGTGGCACCCTGTCTCAAAAAACAAACAAACAACAAACAAAACCAAAAAAGAACATGTAAAATGAGGGGGCTAGGGATTTAGTTCAGCGGCACCCGCCTTGCAAGCGCAAGGTCCTGAGTTCGATCCCCAGTCCCTCCCCCAAAAATAGACCATGTAAGAGGAATGAGAAATGGGGTTGAGGATGTAGCTCAGTGGTGCCATGCCTGCCTGGTAAGCACAAGGTCCCAAGTTCGATACCCAGTACTAGGAAAAAAAAAATGAGAAATTAACCCTGT